TGGTCAGTTGTGTGCCTTTGGAAGAGTATTTTGGCAACTGAATTGGAAAGGGGAGAGACTGGAAGCAATAAGGCCAATTTGCAGACTATTATAGAAATGCAAGCTACAGGTAATTAGTGCCTCAGCCAGGTTGTTAATGTGTTAGTGAAGAGAAAGGGACAGATGCTATGCTATGAAGCATGACAATTGATATGTATATGGGGTTAAGGGAAAAAGAAAGAGTCAGGGAAGACTCCAAGGTTACCTGGGTGCTAGAGAGGAGTCAAGTCCACAAATGCAGCCTTTTAGAGGAGAAGAGTAGGTTGTGAAAAGGGAAATAATGGGTTCCTTTTTGGTCATTCAATTTGAGATGCCAAGGAACACCCCCCAGAGAGGAAATATCTACCAGGCAGTTATCAATGTGTAACTAGAAAATATTATGACAGATTATGGATGGCTGTCTAGGTTTGGGAGTCATTGATGGAGAGATAACACTTGAACCTATGAGAATGGATGATCTCCAAGGGATAGTTTCTAGAGACAAAAGAGAAGAGAAGGTTCAGTTCAGAGCACTGGGGAAACACGCGTGTCAGGGGAAAAAGATCCAATAAATGAGACGAAAAATATCAGTCAGCCAAGTGGTGAACCAGGAGAAAGCAGTGTCATGGCAGCCAATGGAGAAAAAAGGATCTCAGTTGAAGAGGCTGGCAGTATCAAAAGCTTCACAGGTCAAAAAATATTGACTAAGGAAAAGACCATCAGATTTAGCAGTTAAACAATCACTTATCTTGGATTTCAATTTCCTGTCCACCATTTTTATTCTGTCCTTCCCAATCTGAAGAGCATTCTCCACAGAATGCAAAATAAAGACTTGAGTAGTTCTTTTTTTTTTTTTTGCGATTATCCTATCCATTTTCAGTCATGGTCCTGCGCTTTGTTCGGTCTTCCTCTTGCCCCAGTAGAATAACTAAAATAGCCCTTATTGTTCTTGTCATTCATCATTAGTTCCGGCTCATTCTGAGCTTTGGAATTCTGTTTTTTACTATTCTTCTAGGACCATGATACTCTTCTATCCCCCCTCAGTTGCCTAGTCTTGATTCTCTAATCTCCATGTCTTTGTGAGTGAATTCACTGAACATCCGTATCTGTCTTTTCTCCCTTATTGTAATCATTTGTGTTCGTTTAGTCAGAATTTCATTCTTGAGCTTCTCTCATCCCTCCTGAGTCAATTTTCCCCATAGAATTTTATGTGAGGGGTTCCTGACTACTCTTCCTCTGAATTTTTCAGAAGTGTTAGTAACAGCAAAAGCTCAATGGAGATTTAAGGCTTAATAGTTCCATTAACCTAGTTACTATTGACAGTCAGCACACTTTGGGTGCAGCGCTCACTTTCAGTTTATTTTCAGTGAAAGCCAGATAACCACTTTCTCTAAACTGGTATATGTTAGAATTTCACTTGATTTCATCTAAGTCCTTTTGATTTTAATGCAAACTCTTATTTGTTGGGCACTTTGTAGTTCTGAAAGTATTTTCACATCCATTATCTTATATGAGTGTCCTAACAAGTGCCTGACACAGTGAGCTCTGAATAAATGCTTCTTGACTGACAACAGCCCTGTGCAGTAGACCAGATAGGAAACTGAGATGAAAAAGATGGTTGTGACTTGCTTAGAACCACGCAGAGAACCAATTCTCCTCATTCTTAGCCTGGTGCTTCTACTATTCCACGTAACTAGCATTAAGCTATGTTCTCCAGTTGACAGAGAAGACAACAGTGGCCAGGAGGAAGGAGGGGATGGTGTGCTTCCCGAGCCCACTGTGAAGTCTCAGTTTTGTTTCTGACATGAACACCTCTTTGCCTACTGAGAAACCATGATGCAACAAATTATGCACTGTCATTTCACCACAGATTCAAGTGGGAGGAAAAAAATAAGCTGTTTGTTTCCAAACAAGTATCCTTGCCAGCTAAGCAAGTGTGACAAGAAGGGATATTTCACAAAAGCAAGTGCAAGTTTAATGATGGGTACATACTCAACTAAAATGCAGTTAATAATATTTAGTACTTTTCATCTTCCAAGTACTTTTTAAGCTATGACTAATCCTCCGAGCACCCCCTGTGGCTAGGTAAGTTTAGTTGGGTCCAGGGAGAAAGTCATCATTAGAGCTGAGTTAAAGACCCTAACTATCCCTAGATTCCTATTCTTCTCTTAGATCACCCCTTTTTCACAGAGGTAATCCAATTTAATGCTTGATTTATGGGAAAGGCTTTCTAATTCCCAATCCAGTTTAGGCTGAGAGTCCAAAGTGCCTTGTATTGCCTGCAAACTATCTGTACAAACCACAAAACATCCTCCTTTGGCAGGGAGAAATAAATTTAGGGTAGAAGGAGAGATTTTAAATCCATTTAATGTGTAGATATTCTAAATTTTCTTTAAATGAGTAAGTCACAAAAAGCCCTTTGCTGACCCAGGAGATGCAAAAGATCTCTTAGTTCCATATATGTTACCTGAAGCATCCATCTCAGGATCCTCCTCTGTCCTTCTCAGTTCTTCTCTTTCACTTTCCCCAAATTATCAACAAGGTTCTAATTCAGTATGTTATTTTCCATTTGGAAAAAGGTTTCTTGTAATTGTTGTTGTTTTAAAGAAGTAGAATTTTAAAACAAGTCCACTGAGAACAGGCTTTTGTAGGGATTAAAGTGGGACCCACAGCAGAGCTCAGCCAACAGCAACTGTCATTTAACCATGAAGGCAAACAGAATACAATTGCTTCACAAACCGCATGTGGGAAAACAGGATATGCTTTTATTATAAAGAGCTTGTTTACATGTAATAACAGGATTAGTTTTGCAACATTTATTTCTGTTCCCTTTAGACAGAAATTACTTCCTTAAATGACAAACATTTCATTCACCTTAATATATTTAAAAGGAATTTAGAGATATAGTCAATTACTGCTTATAGGCTAGGCTTTGACTAAATATGTATTTGTTGCAGACGTTCATCAAAGATACAAATCACCTTGTTCAATTGGATGCCAGGGAGTTAGGAAGGAAGGAGAGTTGCTTTTAATTTTTTCTTTTCCTAATTTCTTACATTTCAGAAGTTGTCCAAACACTGTAATTTCTGATTTATGGTCTTCTCAGTTATTTCTCTTTTGTACCTTGAATAGCCTTTTAAAGGAAGACTTAGTTTCAACAAAATATATATTCTACTATTAAAATAAAAGATACCTAAAATTTGTCTTTGGTTGCTTTCACATAGCCTCTGCAAGTAGTGGCTACTTTAGAGGTCTTGAAATACACCAGAGCAATATCTGAATTTTTTTTCCTCATCTCAATAGTAAATGAAGGGAGAGCAATTTAATCAATGAAATCATAGGTCTAGTCCCTCCATCTATAATAGGTTAAAAGTACTGAGCAAGGTGCTGAGTGTCATTCAAGGACAAATAAGGATGTGTATGTGTGTGTGTGTGTGTGTGTGTGTGTGTGTGTGTGTGTGTGTGATTAGACAATTTTTAGATTATAGAATAATCAATGAAGCAAGATGTAGTGGAAAGAGCATTAGATTTGGCTCAAATGACAGCTTGAATTCCAACCTCTGCCACTTATTACCTATGTGGCAGCTTGGCTGGATCGCTTCATTTCTGTGGGCCAAGGGTAGTTCAAAAGACCAATGGATGGGGATCTACATCTCAGTTTGAATCCTACAACATGTGACATTTACCTTTAAAATGAATGAATGAATGAATGATGAATGAATGAATGAATGAATTTTTGTTGGCCAGATGCATTCACCAAATGCTTTCTGATCAGTTTTTTTTTCTCTTGGATGAGATTCTAAAAGCTAGAAAGTCTAGATCATACTGTGATAAAATTGGGTATTGCACACTGACATTTAATGATGCCATACACTGTTACTACCTTAACCCCTGAAACTCTTTATAACAGGAAACTACCTCTTAAGTAACCCTTAGCAAAGGAAAAAAATGTGTCTGCCTGCCTGGGACAATTGGAAGAAGGTGGTTGACTTGAGATGATTTTGTCATAATGAAAAGAAGCTGTTGACATTAGGACATGATGTCCCAGAAACCTTGTAAAAAGTATAGTTTGAGCAAACGTGGAGCCTCATTTGGTGACAACTAATGCCTATTTCTTTGTGCTGGGGGTGCAGTAGGTAGTCCAGACTTCTTAAACATAATCAGTGCCTGTATATTTTCTTTCATTTCTCAAAACTTGTTTTTTGGAGTGCAAGTCTGGGTCTCACTCCTTGATCCTTCTTAGCTAGCTTGTTTGCTGTAGTTTGGGGAAAGAGGAAAAATCAACCCTTCAAAAGTAGACTTAAAAATAATTGGCAATTTTCCATCTCCCCAATATTTTTAGCATTTTTTGCTGGTACCATAGACACCACCAAATGTGAGAGTTCCACCAAAATGACATCCTTCCTGCTCCAATAAGACTGGTTTGCAGAGATAATAAAGCAGGTTCAGAAGATGAGAAGCCAAATAGCATATTAGTTTTTAAATAAAGGTACATCATGACAATACCTGACCTGTAAACCTTCAAAGGGGTTTCAGAAACATCATCATATGCAATTGTCTGTGGGGTGTCCAGGGAAGATGCTTTTCTTCCCATTTTACAGTTGAGGAAATCAAAGCATATAGGTTGAATGATTTATTCAGGATTACATAGAGTTAGCCATAGGTCTGAGACTGGACTCTGGGTATCAGATGATGACACTCCTTTCAGTTTGCCTTTGAGCTGTCTACAGATTTTCACTTTATTTTTCTTTTTGTGCAGCCTAACTAATATGAAAATGTGTTTGCATGACTTCACATGTATAAATGTGTTAAAATATTGCTTGCCTTCTCAATGGATGAAGGTTGCACTGGAGGGAGGGAGAGAGAGAGTTTGGAATTCAAAATTTAAAAATGAATGTTTAAAAATATTTTTTTTAAAACTAAAAGAAAACCATCTATAGAGAATTGGCCCTCTCCTGACCAGTAGTCTTCTGTTTTTACAGCGTTTATTCAGGACACCAGTCTATTCTGATCCCTCCCTCAGAGCTAGAGACTAATCCTGCTCTATGGCTTCTTGCTGTGAGTCAGTATAAAGTCCGAGACACTTTCTGTTCCTACTCAGTCATGGAGCTTTGCACCAAGGGACTAGGCTCACAGACAGAATCACTGAAGGTAAGCAATCCCACCTCTTTTTTTCAGAAGAGGCAGGCCCTTTCAGCAGCACCAGGGTATCTTTTGCCTGTTTACCCTTTTGACAGGGAACATTCCTGATTGCAGTCATTGAAGGAGAGAAATTATATTTATGGAAGAACTTGGAAATTTCTTGGTAAAACTAACAGGAGTCTTCATAAAAGCCAGAATACCATCACTTGCTGCTTCCAAGACCATTTTCACAGAAGATATTAGAAATACTCATCTTTGAGGACCACCTAAGCTTTTTTTTCCCCAAATTTCTCTCACCTCACTGCCACAAAGTAGACTTAAGGGCTGGATGGCCGATCCCTGGATCTGTGAAATACTCAGAATCATGGCTTCATTTCTTCATTATAACTTCTGAAAGCTTGAGGTGTGCCTTTGCTTCATGTGAGTGAATGATGTCAGGCATCATGGACAGAGAGCCAGCCTTGAAACCAGGGAGAACCGGAGTGAAGTTCCACCTTTGACGCATGCTGGCTATGGAGACTCTGGACAAGTCCCATAACTACTCTACTTTATGCTCTAGGCAATTTTTTTTTTTAGTACCATGAAGTGCCAAGAAAGTACTGACTTGAATTGGTATGGGAAGTTTCTTTGCCCAAGAGTTCATCGTATCAGTGAGATCACAACTAGTCCTTCTGTCCATAGTATGTGAAAAGTTCTGAGCAAGGTACTGAGTGGCATACAATGTCAAATAAGGACTCTCATTACTTATAGTCTGGAAGGGGGGAAACAGTCTAGAAGGAGAGAGAGAGAAAATTCATTTGCAAATTAATTGTGTGTATCATGTGAAAGTATAAGAGAGATGCAAAATGTCATGAGATCAGGAGTGAAGGATCCTTTCTAGCACATGGGATCAAGAAAGACTATGTGGAGGAGATGGCATTTGAAGGATGGGTAGGATTTCATTTGGTAAAGGTTTAAAGGAAGGAGAAATATAGTTCTCTTTAAGGATTTATAGGATTTACATCTGGAGTGTGTATAGATAGATGTGAAGAGACTAATATTTCAAAGAATACTAATGATTATTTCTTAAATTTCACTGGGCTTCACTTAAAGAATCAAAGAAGGCGATTTGTTCAATTTCCATTTTATCTTTAACATGAAGTGAGAATACCATTTTTTTCATTTAATCCAAAGACACCCTAGTTACTTTATATTGTCATGGAAAATTCAAATATCAACTTGTTTCAAATATCTATTATAAAATACATGTTAAGTTTTTCATTATCATATCTAAATTCAGTAATCTAGAGTTTACACCCCTGAAGTCAGCCATATTTGGGGGCATTTTTAAAAACAGGGTGAACCTTCAGAGTTTGAAATTCTCGTGTCTATATGCCCTCCCCACAGCTATTCCGTGAAACCAAGAATAGTCATAGAACACAGAGATAAAATCCAGAACACTGAATAACTGAACTGAGAAATGATGTCTTTTGATTAACTTATTTTTAAATATGGAACTAGTTAGGCGTAAATGGTAACTATATTATAGCTTAAAGCTCTTCACATGTTATATCTAATTGCTCACATCTGGACAGTGTCTAATATTAGTAGAAGTAACTGATAAACATGCATTATTAAACTAAAATAGTAGAGGCAAGAATGCACTTTCCATTAGGTAATGGTGCCTTTCATTCTACTGATCTTGTTAATTAAAATGTCCACACAAGTGAGTCCTTTCTGACATTTCTAGTGTATATTATGTATTCCCTTGGTTTTGTCTTAAGCATCATTCATGATAGAAACATGTGTTTCACATAACTATAGGTTATATAGTGTACATGCATGTATACATGTGTGTGTATATAAACACAATACCATGTGGTTTATATGTGTATGCATAGAGAGAATATTATTGGTATATACATACTTATCTAACCTTATTAGTCCATTGCCCCCCAGAATTACATATGGACAGAACAGAGAAATAAAATATCAAATTATGTAAAGAATTTTACACTTTATATACACACATATGCAGATATACATATGTATAGGTGTGTGTTATGTGTGTAACATGCATATTACATGTATAATACATGTTATATGTGGATACATATATACAAATGTATGTACATGGATAAACAAAACATATTTACATACCCTATATTGATTCTATATTTCAGAGAGCTGTATTGTATATATATGAAGCAGCATGGTATGGTGCATTAGACCTGGCTCGAGAGTCATAAAGACCTGGGTCCTTCTGACACATACTAGTTGGGTGACATGGGGTATATCACTTAACCTCTCAAGGGCCCCTCAGACAACTCTCTAAGACCTAGTTACAGTGCTCATCGACTTGAAATTCCTCCAACCAATCAAATCACAGGTCCAGAACAAATCAAAAACCACATACGTATATACTGTGTTATGTAATAATTGGTACATGGTATAGTATGATATGACATATATGGAGTGGGGAGGGAGCATATAATCTACTTCCTTTCACTTCTGAGGCCATCAATATGAGTACTTTCTGCACTGACACTAAGTATAACACTTCTGTGGATGACTTTATGACTACTATAGCCAAAAGAGCTGATTATTCGGTTGCCAGTTTTCCAGTCACAAGCCTTCTCACACTTAGCTGGTCCTAACACAGCTGACCAGGGGCATAGTCTATGGGAGTCTCAGAGTCGAGGCCTTTCTAATTTGGCAAGACCTGCCTGAGTTTGTACTGAAATAAATGGCCCAGACTTCAGATAACCACTGTCACTTCCATGAGACAGTGAAGCACCAAGCTAAGACCTTAGTAAAGCAGAGTGCATTGTCTGGTTATATAAAAACAGATTTCTCTGTCAAGCCTAATGTTCAGTGTAAGACCAAGGAGATACACATTCGAAAACAACAGTACCAGGAGAGATTTACGTTGTCACAAAAGCCACAGGGTTACATTAGTTACTTCTCAGAGTTGCTGTGTGGAAATTGCTTTCCAAACTATAAACTATCACATAAATATGTGTTAGCATTATAATAGTTTAATATAGCAAGTAAAAACAATGCAGGCAGACATATTTACACCTGTTCGTGTCCACATTATCTTGAATTCTCTTTGCTCCCGTCAGAAGTGCATTTGTTAGCAATGATAGAAGGGAAAGAATTAGACTGACTTTGTTTGAGGAGTTCTCTTCTCTTTGTCTCTCATTTTCATACCAGCAGACAACATACGTCAGTGCCCGTGGTCATTCCTCTTTGGGATGCCATCCAAAAACTTTGTTTACTCTCAATGTGAGCTGTGCCAACCATTACCACCGAAAGTGTTTTGCTTGGCTCATTCGAATTCCTCCTCCTCTGATTTCTGGTGTTTTTGCTCACTGGACCTCATCCAATGCAGAAATATTCTACCATAAAACTATAAAGTGATTAATCACTGGGAATATATCATAGGGTATTTCAAGGGTCACAGGACATAAAATGCATGATCTGTCTTTATGAAGTCATTGGAAATGTCTGGTTTCCTATTTACATCCAGTGGGTTGGGATTTTTTTGCATTTCTCTCTTGTACATGCTCAGAAATGCCCGCACAGACTCACACTTGTAAGGACTCACACACAAACATTTCGTCAGACTTCTTTTCCTGTTTTTTTTTTTTTGCCAGTCTTGAATTACCTTCCCACAAGCATTCATTTTTGTCTATCTCACTTGCTGTTCTGGTGACCTTGCAGTTATTCAGAAAAGGTGTTTGGTGTTACTACTTCAGAGAGGCAGCCCAGGGTAGGGACAAAGGGCTGGTCTTGGAGTCAAGGAGAACTCCATTCAAGTCTTGCCTCTTGACACTTACTAGCTGTGTGATTATAGACAAGTCACTTAACCTTTCTGAGCCTGGTCTGCTTTGATGGAGAGGGTGCCCACATCAATGATACCCCAGTTTTTATATCATCTTTTCAGTTCCAAATGTCAGCATAGATGTTTTAAACAGGTAGTCAGTTCAGTCCTAAAGCAACCCATGAAAAGCACAACACTAGATGACCATATGGCACTGGGTCTTTGCTATATTCTTTGGTCACTGCAAAGTAATGGGATCTATGGTTTTACGTGGAAATACACAAGTGTGAGATTGCCTTATCAATCAATGCCATTGTTATCATTCCCAGGCAAGAGGACTGGACTTGTCCCGCGTACGGACGTGTGTGGTCGTGGCAGAAGAACGCCCTCGAATCGCCCTCACACAGTCGTTTTCAAAATTATTTAAAGATCTGGGTCTCCATCCACGAGCTGTTAGTACATCATTTGGCTGTAGAGTTAACTTGGCGATCTGCTTACAGGTGAGTTTCCCTAATATTGTTAGGTGCTGGAATCAAGGAAGTGACAAGTAGATGCTTAAGTGTACACCACAGATCTGAAGAGGTTTTTTTCTTTTTCTGGGTAGGATGCTTAGTTAGGATTTTTGTCATCTTTTCAGCAAATGCATGTGGTTGGTACACAGATGTTGACTTTATTACTTTTATTACAGTTTCACATTTGTCAGTAACCATTATTCATAATGGGTATTCTTAGCATTTACCCAATCCTAAAATCTTTTAACTTTAGTAACAAGCATGGCAGTTTGTCACAGCTTCTGCTGTCTGTTTTTCTAAAGATTAGACACTTGGAATAATGTATGAATGCATCCTGTATCCCTGTCTCTTTAAAGGTTTGGTGTGATGTAACCAGGGAAATAATTGCTTTTTGAAGAACTAAGTCACTTGAAGCAGGTTCAAATATCTCCTGTTGTATTGACAGCACTTAAATCACAATCTCAGTTTAATTTCCTTGCCTTAGTTAAGAAAGACAGATCCCTGAGATAACCATTTATTAGCCTTTCAAATCTGCCAAACAAAATCTGATTTATTTTCTGCTTCATTAGTGCCCCTTCCAACCATATTTATAATCTCTGCCTTGCCTTAAGCTCTTGTTTTGTAAAAGGACACCCCAGCCCATGGAAAAGCTCAAACTTCTTCCCAGAGTTAAGACCAACTAAATTTTTTTTTAAAAAGAGGGTAAAGATGTTTCATCTTTCCATAAAGTCCTTTACAACTAAATCCCTTGAACTTGCCCTTAGAGTATGGAGCTATAAAGCTCATCCTTTCTACGGCATTTTAAGAAGAAAAACCATATGTTGACTTGTATCACTCTCATTCATTACTCTAATCCTATACTATGCCTCTTCAATTCACACTCCCCCCAGGGAAATGGGTGAATTTGTTTTGTTTACTTTTTCCTACTCATTAACAAAAGAATAATTTTTTTTAATTTCGTGGGATGGGAAGAGAGGAGATACTGATAGAGTTGCCTCCCCTCAAAAAAATCAAAGCAAAGAGGGTTTTGGAAGCATTTTTTTAATGCAAAGAAAAAGAAGGCAGAAGGAAATACAGACAAGCAGGACAACTTTGAAAGCAACATGTTAAAATTTTTTGTATACCTTTTAAAAAAAAGCACACACAACAGATTTAGATTTTCCATATGTGATTGTAATTTTCTATTCTGCCCTCTGTGTGGAAATGTTTTTTTTCCTCTCTCTTTTTCTCCCTCTGCCTTTCTTTTGGTGTTTAAGTTCAGAATTAAAAAAAAACAAACACAACTAAATGTAATTTTAAAAAAGAAATGTCCAGAAGAGAGTCTTGCAAGTATTTTCCCCATTTCTACTTACTCTATTCCTCTCTTCCCTCATCTTCAATCAGTTATTCTCCCCATTTCTACTTTCTTTCTTTCCTCCCATTTCCAGTCAGTCTCCTATTACTGCTATTCTGTCCAGGCATCCAGCCCTCTCATTGCCTTTCTCGTGCCTTCATCATTCTGACTCAGTCTCAAATTCAGCAACTGCCCCAAACAGTAATAATATCTTCCTTCCCCAGAGAGTAACTGGGACTCCCTAAGTGAGACTATGAGAAAAAATTAGGCAGTAACTTGGCAACAAAAGCATATTTATTCTATTTCTGCCTCAGCTGCCACTTTGAAGTGCTATGGGAAGTCCTTTCACAAAAGCAAAACAAAACAGATTGCAAAAGAAAGCAGAATATTTAACACTTGTCATCTTTGACATGATTGGTAGGCATTAACCAATTAAGGTCCACAAACACACTTATGAGGTAGGAATTCGATTTTGTACTGAAACTCCAAATGGAAGAAACTGAGTTGGAGAGTCACTTAAATTCAGAGGTGATTATTAGCTTTCCAGAAATGTTCTTTGAGTGTGCATAATTCCCAAGTATATAAGACTAGACTCCCTCAAGTAGCAAGCTCCTTCAACTATAAAAAGAAGTGTTTGAAATTGTAACAAGAAAAAATACAACTTTTCAGGAACATAGTTGGCATGTAAAGAGAAATATACCCACACACTGCATTTCCTCAGAAATGAAATGTATCATGAGCTGCCACACCAAATGAAGCAGAAGTCGTAATTCACTGGTCATCTTGGAATTGTCTATCACCACTTTGAAGAGTTTTCATGCAACAATAATGACCCGAACCTCTTGTTTTAAGGGGGAAAGGAAGTTCGTGTTTACAGATTTCCTTTATAACTTACATGGATTTCATGAGATCCAGATTGCTTGAACTCATACATTCCCAGTACTCACCATGATACAGCAGCAAATGATGAACTCCCTTTAATCTGATAGTTTTCTGTATCATGAAAGCAATGAAAGTGATGAAAGTGATCCTAAAAAAAGGGGTGTTTTTAAAAAAAAATAAATTTTTGAACAGGAGAAAAAAATACCTCTTCCTCTTGCCTGTGTGTGGCACCGTCTACATAATCAAAAATTTCAAGAGCCCAACTTGCTAGTGTAAGGTCAGATTGAACAAGGTGGCATACTTAAAGAGTATCCATTCAATTAAATGAGGTCCTGTAGATGAGCAAATAGCTGTCAGATCATGAAGCTGAGCAAAGACTAAGTCCCTGCCTAAGAAAGCTTTATGTATGATGTGAGCAGGGATAGATTTCTTAAGGAGCTCTAACATTCTGCAGCCTAGAGAGGTAACTTGATTACTTCTCCTTGCCAATGACTTATTACGCTAACTCACAATGTCCCCAAAGTAGTTTTTTTAAAAAGCATTTTAAACTTTTAAGCTTTAGCACAAGGAATCAGACTTTCTACTCTAGTCATCAATCTTCCACTGAATCTCTTTTAGAAAGACTTGTGTATGGTTTCTGTGTGAGCCGTACATTAACAGTACGAGAAGCACAGTTTGTTGGAAAGACCTCTGCCTTGATGGTATAAGACCTGTTTTTGAGTCCTGGCTTAAGCCATTTGCTAACTGCATGGACTAGTGAACTTAACTTCGCCAAATCACCATTTCCTCATTGGCAAAATTGGGATAACAATCCTTGTTAATAACCCTTGATAACAGTCCATAAGTTGATGTATAAGAAAGTACTTTATCAGTGTGAAGCACCATATAAGAGTAAACTAGTAATTTGATGGAGTAGTATAATCATTCTTTTGTTCACCATTGCCACCCCTATAGAGTTTAGGCTTGAGAGGGAGTCAGTTGGTAATGAAACACTGGAGTTATCAATAATTCTAGGTTATTCACCTCATATTTAATATGATGTTATTAAGAATCTACTTTGCCTGTCTAGTGACCAGCTAATTCAGAAAAACCTAATCTCTGTGATGCTGCTGACGCTGCTGCTTTAAGCATTCAGTCTGAAAAACCAAAGGTAGTTGTTGCTTCCTCAATCATTTCGAGACAGGAATTACCCACTGTGTGCATTTTGACGCTGTTGGCTTGGAGTTCATAAGCCGTTATTCTTTGGCAAAGGCATGACCTTCTCAAATGAAGAATAGGTTGCTTTGATTTTTTGCATGAACTTCTAAGATTGTAGGCACTTTTCAAAGGAGAAGGATCAAGATGTATGAGCCATTTGTTATTGTCAGGAAATGACATTTCCCAGAATATCTAGCTACACAAATGACTTTTAATATAAAACAGTTGTAATTTGTTGAATTTAGTGTCTAGGAGAACATTAAAAAGATCACATCCTGGCTTCTGTGTTTAATTAGCCTTAACATAAATTTCTCCTAGTGCTGCTAAAATGTGTCACTTGTTTATTAACCTCTGTTGGAAAGGATGTTGCCTGCAGCCACAATTACTCTTTTGAAAAAATTAAGATGAAGAGTTTTTGCTTGTACTAGGTTAGAAATTGTATTCTCTCATAAAAATCTTAATATCGTTCTCCATAGGATTCACGGGGAGGAAAGCCCAAATCTCTCCCCCTTTTCTAAAGAAGACTCAAATTAAGGGTTTTTTTTTTTGGGGGGGAGCCATTGAAGTACCCTTGGGCCACTTCCAGTGAAACCTTTTGATCTTTGCTTTATTACAGATGGTGAAGATCATTCTTGAAAGGGAAGCTGTATTTACAACTAGCAGGCATTTCAATGCTCAGTGAAATGAATAGCCATGAGAATCTTAAATTCACAGAATATTATAATTGGAAGTGACTCAGGGAGCTTTTAGTCCAACTTTTACCTGAAGAGGAATATAACCTCCCTAAAAATGTGGCCATCCAAGGAACCCGTTACTTGCTAAGGCATCCCCTCCCATTTTTAAGCAGCTCTAAATGTGAAAGTGTGTGTGTGTGTGTGTGTGTGTGTGTGTGTGTGTGTGTGTGTGTATACACACAGAGCCCAGATCTGCCTCCCTACAGCTCCCATGGAACCTAGTTCTACTGTCTAAGACCAAGTAAAAAAAAAATCCTTAATGCCTCCTCCACATGACATCCTTTCAAATTCTTAAAGGTTACTGCCATGTTTCCCTGAATTCTTTTCTTCTCCAGACTAAACACCCTGAGTTCCTTTCAATCTTGTGGCATGATTTTCATTCCCCTTACCATCCTGGTCCCCCCTCCTCTGGATGCATTCTAGCTTCCCTGTCAGCCTTCTTAAAATGTAGTATCCAATACTCTGGATGTTGAGTGACCAGGGCAGGCTACAAGACTCTTCTACTATCCCCTTCCTCTTCCTGCATGCAAAAACTTCTTTTAGCTTAGCCTAAAATTCCATTAGCTTTTTTGACCACCATGTTACATTGCTGAGTCACTGAGCTTTCCATCTGCTAAACCCTCTCTCCCCAGTCTTCTACCATAAATCTCAGATGTGGAAGAGTCGAAGCATTAAGCATCATGTACAACACTGACTGATTCTGCCACAGATAGGCAGCTCAGAAATGCAGAGTAAGATGTGAAGAATAGGTCGATAAAGAACAGAAACACCATACATTCACCCTCATCCCCTGTATATTCATTTGGCAGCTCAAGCTCAAGTTAACACAACAGGTACCATGA